CTGATTTAGGGTCAATGTGACTTTTGCCACAGTAAGAATCATGGTATTTACCCAACATGTTAAAAGTCAAACACAGCAGCAGACTGTAATACCCTGGAAGGATGTTTGCCTCCTTTTTTTGTTTGGTATTAGCAAATCAGATGTTTGCTAATACCACCGATGCAGAGGCCCTGTGAACTTTCATTACAATTCCATGTAAGACATACATATTACCTCATAAGCAATCTTAGCAAAACAACACTCATGTTTGCCCACAGACTAAGAAAACAACTTTAAGTTTGCTGGGCTTGCTGAGTTACCAACAGTGATGCTATATAAAAAACTCACATTTGCATCTCAGAAACTGGACTATCGGCATCAGCCTTTCTTACACATTTTGGTAGGTCATCAAAATATCTTTAGATAGTAAAGAAACTTGAACTTTGGCAACCTAAATTTGAACTGTGACTCTAAAGAAGAAAAGGCCTTTCCCTCATACAGCTCCACTCTTGAACCTCTTAGTTGAAATAAGGAAAAATATGTATATATATATTCCAAGGTTGGTACCACTGAATAAAACCATCTACACTTAGGACTGCGCACAGTAAGATTACTGTAACTCAGCAGTGCATTATATAGCAGCTTTAGGATTACTTTTTTTTTTTTTAATTACAACTTCAGAAAAAGGTTTTCAGCCATCTTGTACAAAGAAGTTGTAAGGCTCTGATTTTTCAGTCTTTTCTTTTTTTATGAGTGGAATGGCAGCAACTACATACACAAGGGAAAAGAAGCCAAGATAGCACCTGGTGTCTCCCTGTGAAGAGAATTTCTTTGAGAATGTTAGATAATGGATTATATATGTGTCAAATCCTTACCTTTACAGAGGACCAGCAACTCCAAGTAAACTTCAAAAGAGAACTTCAGGGGCATGTAAGACATTTTGTAAGAAAGACATTTTCTCCCTAGTTTAGGTATTATATCTTTTGCCCAAGAGAAGGAAAAATCATTATGATCAGTAGCCAAACTCAGTTCTTCAATATACGGTTGTGCTGGAGAAACGGGGCTTTTGCAAATGATGCCATAGAGATTTGGGACTAAGGTTGATGAGTGTAGACTCAGTAACTGACAACACAGATGAAGTCCTGGGACTGAATGTTGTGCATCCTTAGGGAAATTAGGAAAGAACAAACTCCTTTCTGCAGTCATCCCTATCCCAAGAGAATGCTTCCTCTTTTATATCTGGTTGATGTTCTCTTCTGGGGGAAGTTCAACAGAGGTCACTGCACCAAGAACTAAAGTAGTCAGCACAAAACTGACAGAGACTGGTTCCACAAAAGCAGCAGCAGAAAAAGAAAAAAAGCAAGAAAGCAAAACATTTTTTTAAAATTATTAAGTCCTCTGATGATAAACTAGCAATGCTACAAAAATATCAGTTAAGGATAGAGAATAATTCATAGCTTTGTAAGTGGTCATTGCCTATTTCAGTACTTCTGTTCATCCTAACTGTAAAATACCAACTGTAAAGTTTTTCAGCATATTCTCGTAAAACCCAAGAGTAAGAAAGGTGCATTTTTCATGTCCATTGCCCATAGGCAAGCTAAGAAAATCCTATAGCTTACCCTATACATTGCCCACCAAATAAATATATTAATTATTTATGCATGATTTGCACTAGTCAGTGGGTATTCAGGAACTCATTCACGATTCCCTTACTGTTTCTGTCAGACATCAAATAAGGCTTAGAAATAATGCTGTTGAGATAAAAAAGCCATGCCAAACAATTTTATCAATCACCCTCTTCTAGATTTTGAATTTAGCAATAGCAATGGAACTGATTAACAGCCCAGCAAATGAAGCTCACTCTCTCCTCTTAAACACCATCATCCTTTCCACTGAAGGATATTCCAGAAGCTGTTATAAGAAGAGCATGCGCTCTCAGTTAGAAAAGCACATTACCCTCCTACCAAAGCCGTTTCAGCCATCGTCTTAATGTTAACTGATATTGTGAAGTACAGTTTAGAATAGGAATCCCCTCTTCAGGCTGTGGTCTCTTGAAAGGGAAAAATCAGACTAATCTTTTTAATGGAGTAAGCAAGAAGAAATGGACTATTGATAAAGCAGTTTATTTTGACTAACAGATGAGGCAAATTAACTCGGCTGCAATCTCCTCAATTTACTGCTGCCTAAAATAGAGATAGCACTGCATGGAGAAGGCCAAATAAGCTAATGTAAACTTTCCATCTGGGGGAACTCAAGCAGCTATCATTCACCACTGTCATTTACATGACTGGGGGTGGGAAGAGGAAACTCACATACTGAACATGGAGATAACACTCAGTTTGTTTCTCTGTTTTGAAAAGCATCATTATTCCTTATATTTCAAAGCATAGATGAATGACAGATGAGAAGAGACCGACACCCACCTCGCTACAACCTCCTTTCAGGTAGTTGTAGAGAGCGATGAGGTCTCCCCTCAGCCTCCTTTTCTCCAGGCTAAACAACCCCAGTTCCCTCAGCCGCTCCTCATCAGACTTGTTCTCCAGACCCCTCACCAGCCTCGTTGCCCTTCTCTGGACACGCTCCAGCACCTCAACGTCCTTCTTGTAGTGAGGGGCCCAAAACTGAACACAGTATTCGAGGTGCGGCCTCACCAGGGCCGAGTACAGGGGGACAAACACTTCCCTACTCCTGCTGGCCACACTATTTCTGATACAGGCCAGG